GGCTTTGTTATTAAATGGTAATATCAGAGGACAGAACTAACATTATGTCTACTACAAATGACATTCAAATGGCCAAAGTGCCAAATTTGACATGTTCACATTCTGGCAAATAAACCATGAGAACAAGAGAACTTTAAGTGTACATGACGCAGCATGTTGAAATATTTAAATTTAAACAGAAATTCAGATTACTTGATACACCAAAGCAAATGGTACCCATATTCAGTAGTTCACTGGTTTTTTTTCCTCAACTAGGTAACCACTGGCCAGAAGTGCACAACCAACTCTATACAAATACAAAATGAAAAAGTTTTTAAAAAAACTTGTACCTGTACCAGCAGGGCTTTATTTGTTTCCTCCAGCCCACTTAATCTTTCTTTAAGCAAAGCCTAAAAAAGATCAGTTATACATCAGCCAAAGAAAGAAAGAAAAAAACATTAGCCTTCAAACAAGTGCAGAATCTCAAGCAAAAAACTAGTAATCCATATGTTACCTCTTGATGAGTTAAGGTGTCATTGATGTTGTCTATGTGCCTGACTTTGTTATCCAAAACTTCCTACATGGAATCAGGGAATACAGACTTATAACAAGAGCATGTAACTCCCTACAAGAGCTGTGTTTGTGTTTGAGAAAAAAAAACTCCCAACAAGAGCTAATACACTAGCCTTTAATATGGTATCTGAGTTGAATAGTTGATGGCGCCAGCTTAAAAAGTTATCTCGTCAATTTGGGGTTCCAATATCATCAGGAGAATAGCCTACCCCAACTGCCTTGGGGTTAAAAGGCTTTGTTGTTGTTGTTGTTGTTGTTGTTGTAATATCATCAGGAGAACAGAAGGTTCTACATTGTCTTTAACTCCTTTTCAGTGCATAATATGTAGTGAGTACAATTATCGATCTACCTATAACTGAGGTCTTTGTAGGAATTTTATACTTGCACCAAGGGCCATGGCCCTAGATGCCCTATGTACAACTCTACCCCAGAATCCCAGTCACTGGAATCAGGCAAGATTGACACACTGATAAATATGTCCACTCAAGTATTGAAATCAGCTCAAGAAACATTAAATACCTCCTTCTTAATCAGTACATCATAACCACTCTGTAGACTATTCACTTTTCCCTCCAAAAGGACCTGCAGATAAGAATGACGAAAATTTTAGACGGACAAATTTCGAGTCATTCATCTTGCCAGCAACCTTGCCAAAAGGAAGAAAATGCAATTGATAAAATCACAGGATAGTTCGCGTCCAGCACACAAAGTATACCTCATTTTGAGCATGACAACCCACTTTGCTATGCAACTTTTCAAGTTCACCCTCCATGGTGCTCTGCAGGAGAAGGATAATGAGGGAATGAAACAATATTTCTTATGTGATGATTCTAGCACACGAATGTGCATGTGCTCGGAACTCATCAAACCAAAGTAGTAAGCACATAGACATATGGCATAAAAACATAAATAAAATATGGTAAAGGCATGTTAGAAACTACTTTGATATGCATGTGTGATGTGTCATATCCTGTATACAAAATACGGTGCATGACTGAGAGGGGGGGGGGGTAGGGTAGTTGAATACATTCCATAGTTTTATTGACATAGCACCTCCCTTCAATACTAGATATAAGTTACTCGAGCAATGGAAACACAAACTCCAAACAGGGCCTAAAGAGCAAGAGAAAATGACATTGGTGCCCTCCCCCCTTTTTTTTTGCTACATGGTCCTCCCTAAAATTGAAGAAACTAGACCCATATACCTCAAAGTTGTAGAATGATTTATACTTAGGGAATAGTTCATGAGTAAGTCTAAAAATGTTATATATATCTGGATTTATAGGGCCTACATCACAGTAGAATTTTGTAAATTGGAAAATGGTAGATTCAAATATGCTTAAGATAGATCTTTTCCATTGCTGCTATGAGAGCAGGTAGACTGATTATTGGCAGTTGTAATTGAGAAAGTTGATGCAAATGTAGAATGGTGAATACATTTGTAATAACAAATAAAAGCTTCAGAAAAAGAAAAGATAAGCAAAAACAGTTTTTTAATCATGCCCATATATGCATACCACTTTTTGAAGCCATAAACTCTTTTCATTCTCCAACTGCTTTATTGTCTCATGTAATTTATCCTGCATTGCAATACTTTATTGTCTGATTGACTCATTTAGAGAAGTGTGGAACAAAAATAAAGTCACATGATCAACATAAATATACAACTATTGAACTAATAAGACTGTGAAGGTACTATATATTATCAATTCAAGTGCTGATAAAATTCACAAGCATTCTAAGAAAATGAAAAGAGATGGCGCATTTGCAATTCACAAACCACTCACGAGTTTTGCTTCAAAAAGTCTGTGCATGTCAAGCTCCACACTAGACTCTGACAGTCCAACACTCCTCTGATCTGCAGGGACTGCATTGCTGGCCTTGTGATTCTCCTGTGTCATCATAGGTTCATTGTTCTGATAGCAAGCAATACCCTCTCCAATGGAGGATGTAGTATCATAAGCATTTGTGCCATTATGATCTGCCTGTAGATTTGGCTGGTGATTCTTGTACTGAGGAACTCCCTCTCCAACACTGGACATGGCATCATCTGCATCATAACCTTTATGATGATCTGTTGGGGCTGACTCGTGATTGTGGTGCTGGGGAGCAGCTTCCCCAGCATTGGATGTGACATCAGCGGCATTCTTCCCTTGGTTTCCCTTCTTCTTCTTGTTCCTCTTCTTTTTGGAATCCATCTCTCTTTGCACAGCTCAGCCCTTCAACAAATCCATGTATTGATGAATACAGATAAAAGAATATATTTCCAGCTACATTTTGATGAACGGAGTGTTTGATCAGCAAAATTAAATATGTTAAATGCAGGTCCAATGTTTCGAGTGCACGTGGTGATTGAAAAAAAAAACACAGCTAGCTTATTCACACGACTTCAAACTTCATGAGATCATAAATCATACAAATTTCCCACTTGCAGTAAACTACAACACCTCTCTATAATGAATGCCGGAAGGGTAAATAAAAGCAACAGCAAACTCTCTTATTCAGCTATCCCAGAAAAACCCTGCAAACGAAACCAAGAATCCTAACACACCACGAAACACCTTTAAATTATAAGTAATTTCAACGAAGATTCTCCTTTCCCCATCACCCGTGCTCGTGAACATGCGTAAACAACGCGACTTCGTAGTCACAACCAGATGACACACAGCGGCGTTCCACGTTTAAGGATCTAACTCGACGAATTTCCGCACACAGAAAAAACTATAATTTTGCAGACAACACAGTTAACAAGTAATCGAAGTCAGAATCGCTATGAGAGTTGAATTGCTATACAAGATTCGCTGCCAAGTATTGGAAAATGCCTGTGGAGCAAGAGAACTAACCCTAGAAATGGCCGCCGCAGTCGCCGCCGCTTCTGCCTGGCTCCAATCGGCGGAGGGTGGGGATCTGGGGCTGGCGAGTGGAGTAGCGGGGGGATTAAAATTAGCTGGGAGGGTTGATTTTCAGGGGGGAAGCGTGCGCCTGTTTGATTGATTAATTGGTGGGGATCTGCGTCGGTGTGAGGAGTGTGCAGGACGAGGACGGGTTGGCGGAAGCGCAACGCCCGGTGGCGTGTCGCTGCCTGCGCTCGTGATTCTTGTAATGGGCCTCGCTCTGTTCTTTCACAGGCCAAACTGGGCTGCTAGGCTCTGCAGCTCCTCCTTTAGCCTTAGGCCCATTAAGGTTATTTTTACATGAAAAAAAGTCCACATTACCTCCTCAACTTTCACGAAAGTCCATTTTTACTCCCTGAACTCCAAAACCAGGCAAAACACTTCCTCAACTTTTAAAACCGTTCATACTGCCTCCCTGACCCGGTTATAAGCGGTTTTGAAAGCGGTTTTGTCTTTTTCTTTTTATTTATTTCGGCTGAATCTTTAAAAAATCATAGTAAATCACAGAAAAATCATAAAATAGAAAATCCAAATTTGTTGGACTCCACATGAGTAGATCTATAAAATAAATATATAATATGGTATGCTTTAGCACAAAGTTTTTGTTGTAGCTTTATATCTATATTTTTCTATAATTAAATGGAATAATTCATAGTTGCAGTTCTATGGTCCAATTATGGTGAAACTTTTATGGTGACCTAATTATTGTATGTTTAAACTGTAGTTAAAATTTCATACTCATTGGATCATGTATAATTTAGTTATAGATTTTATTTAGGTTTATGCTTGTTAAATATAAATAAATCTATAACTAAGCCATACATGACCCAATGAGTATGAATTTTTTACTACAGTTCAATCATACGATAATTATCCCACCATAAAAAATTATCACAATTGGACCATAAAAACTGCAGCTATGAATTATTCCAGTTAATTACATAAAAGCATAGATCTAAAGCCACAATGAAAACTTTATACTAAAGCATACCATATTATATGTTCACTATGTAGATCTACTCATGTGGAGTCCAACAAAATTGGATTTTTCATTTTATGATTTTTCTGTGATTTATTATAATTTTTCAAAGATTCAGTCGAAATAAATAAAAAAGAAAAAGACAAAACCGCCTTCAAAACTGTTTATAACAGGGTCAGAGAGGTAAGATGAACCATTTTAAAAATTGAGAGAGGTGTTTTGCCCAATTTTATAATTCAGGGAGGAAAAACGGATTTTCATAAAAGTTGAGAGAGAGGTAACGTGAATTTTTTTCTTTTTATTTACATTTATGTTTTGTGTTGGGCCGGTGGAGAATCTGAGCCGTGGGCCGCGCGCGGGAGCGCTCTCGGCACTGGTTTCTTTCCGCTCAGGCAGCCGCGACACGACCCAAGAAACCACCCACAAAAGCGCAGCCGCCTCCCTAAACCCTTGCTAGTCTCGTCTGTTGTCTCCCTCCCGGCAGCGGCGGCAAGGCCTACCGCCGCAAACCCTCTTCCCCAGCCTCAGCGAACAAAAGAAGAGGTAAGTAGGAGGCAGGAGCCCTAGGTAGCCCCATGGCTCCGGCGGACGGCGGCGGCGGCGGCGGCGGCGAGCAGCCGCACAAGGCGCACCGCCAACACAAGTCCGGCGCCAAGGCGCGGAAGAAGAAGGGCAAGGGCAAGGGCGACGGCGGCGATGACGCAGGGGGCCAGCAGAAGAACCCCAAGGTACGAAGCAGATTCGAGCAAGCTCGTGATTGGTGTCCGTGGAGTGACCTGCTCGGGGCGACATGGGTCCGGAAGCCTTGTTGTTCTAATCAGACTACCTTTCCATTCTTTCAGGCTTTTGCATTTCAGTCAGCAGCGAAGGCGAAGCGTCTACAAGCTCGGTCAGCTGAAATTGAACAACGGCGTCTCCATGTCCCAATTATGGACCGTTCCATCGGCGAACCTCCTCCTTTTGTTGTTGTAGTTCAAGGACCTCCACAGGTATGCTCTGCAATTTGCACAGATGATTATTAATGTTCTCTCTCTTATCATCGCTTCACCTCAAATTCATTAGGTTGGGAAGTCACTATTGATAAAATGTCTGGTAAAGCACTACACCAAACAAAACTTGCCAGAAGTTCGTGGTCCCATCACTGTTGTATCAGGTTAAGGAACTCTTTGCATATTGTACATTGGAAATCAAAATTTAATGGAATAATGCTAGATTTTTGTGAAGATGATAAGCTTATCGTTTGTTTGTTGGATGCAGGTAAAAACAGGAGGGTACAGTTCGTGGAGTGTCCAAATGATATCAATGGAATGATTGATGCTGCTAAAATAGCTGATCTCGCTTTATTGCTCATTGATGGAAGCTATGGATTTGAAATGGTGTGTTGTCATATTTCTATTTTCAAAATTGTTACCAGTTTACTATGTAGCTCTGTTAAGTTTTCTAGCAAACACGTGTAGAAGAGTTCAAATAACCTCCCTTTCTCTCTAAACGTACCTTAGAAGATCTTCTGATGTGACTTCCTTCCCCTGCTATATGTTTGGCTGATATTCTACTATGATGATATATTTGGTTCTTTTCTCGTGATCTAGTATTCAACAGTGTTAACCCACATGGTATGATGGTGTTGACTTTAAATTATACTGATGAGTCCAACTGACATTGCTGTATTGGACTATAAATTGCCATACAATTGATTTTTTATTAATATGTTTTCTTGGACTAGTATGTAAATGAATCCTTGTTCCCAGGATACATTTGAGTTTCTTAATATCATGCAAGTCCATGGATTCCCCAAGGTGATGGGAGTGCTCACACATCTTGATAAATTTAAAGATGTGAAGAAACTCAGGAAAACTAAGCAGCGCCTTAAACATCGATTCTGGGCCGAGATAAAGGAGGGAGCAAAATTATTCTACTTGTCTGGTCTGATTCATGGAAAGTAAGTTGCCATTTTCTTTCATATTATTAACTTTCTATTTAATTAACTGGAACATCAACCTGCATGCTTGTGTCAGTTTGCACCAGTTTTAGCTCACAGCTAAGCATATTATATGTTATAAAGAGTTTTTATGGCTTTTTCTCATGGTGCAGCTTCACGATGCAATTTTGTATTTACCTGCTGAGTGTGATGAACCTTTTTGCTTAGACCTATGACCATTTGGCATATAAATTTCATGCAGATACACCAAAAGAGAAGTCCATAATCTTGCAAGATTCATCTCTGTAATCAAACCTATCCCATTGAGTTGGCGTATGGCTCATCCTTATTTGTTAGTTGATAGATTTGAGGATGTCACCCCTACAGAAAGTGTGCGCTTGAACAGAAAGTGTGACAGAACAATAACATTGTACGGTTACCTCCGTGGCTGTAATATGAAAAGAGGGACCAAGGTACAACATTTGTTCCTTTCATGATCAGTGTAACTTGATGTTGAGTTAGCGTGTTACTTTGTGCTTTGAAGTTCCAACAAACAGCTTTATAGCGTTACATTTTCCAGATGATTGCACTTGTATTATATTAAGAAGCACAATAATTTGTGCAGGTGCATATCACAGGGGCAGGTGATTTCAGCTTGTCTGGGGTGACGGGTTTGGCTGATCCTTGCCCTTTGCCATCATCTGCAAAGAAGAGAGGATTGCGTGACAAGGAAAAACTGTTCTATGCGCCAATGTCTGGTCTTGGGGATTTACTTTATGACAAGGATGCGGTTTATATTAATATCAATGATCATCTTGTTCAGTTTTCAAAGAGTGATGAAAATGATGCACCCAAAAAGCAAGGTAACTAGGGTATAGGTTATCCATACCTAATGCCGAGTCCCTTGTTCATTCATTGCATTATCGCTTTTGGAGTTTCTTGTAGTTTGCTTATTCATCCTAATTAATGCTGTCCCGATGAGCGTGCCATTCATAAACATGCTTTCATTAACAAGAATATGAGGCCATCAAGCTGAAAATGTCGTTTTTTTCCTGTGTTCATTACCTTAGCTAGTGTGCTATTCAGATGAATGTCTTGGCTTTGAATTATTTATGATGCTGGATAACAAAATGCTGGTTGTTGTGTACATGATTTTTGGTGCTTGATCCTCCCTATCGTATATTTGTGGTTTGTCAATCATTCCATTTGTTCCACCTATATCGATACATTTAGAATGTGAACTGTTATAACGGGAGCCTTTTTTTGGCAGATCTATGGTACAATATGAACCTTTTAAAGCATAACTGTTTGTGCACTTATTCTGGAATTGGATTGACTTCAGCTTTGCATTTGGATTCCTGCCCTTAATCGTTACTTCAGTCTGCGCTTAGCCGCTTATGCCTTTCTTAATTTTATTTATGTTGGACTGCTGGTCTTTCACTTTACAGGGAAAGGTAAAGATGTCGGCGTGGCCCTGGTAAAAACACTTCAAAACACGAGATACTCCCTTGATGAAAAGTTGGAACAAAGTTTTATAAATTTCTTTGGTGGACGTCCTGCTGCTCAATCCAAAGACAGTGATGCTGAAGGCAATGTCATCTCTGCGAGCCAGGATGATCAGGGTGACACAAACTTGCAGCAAGTAGATGACGGTAACAATAGCAATGCAGTCACCATGGAGAGCAATGAACATTCTGAAGGCTCTAGTGATAGCGAAGAGGATAATGATGATATTCAGCTGAGGGATCGTGATGTTGACTTGAGGGAAGAAGTAGAAATTTGCAATGGAAGATTGAGGCGAAAAGCTGTATCTGCTAATTTTCTAGATGACGTTGATGATGAGGTCTATTGTTTTCCCTTATTTCCTTGTCATGGATATTTTTTCTTGTCTCAGACTCTGTTGCATGTCAGTTTATGATCCTTGTCCTTTAGAGCATGGTTTTCACTATATTATATGCATATGTTTGTAACCCAAGCCAGGAAATGTACATAGTCCAGGTTGGGAAGTCTATTAGTTCATGCAAAACTGATTCTTTTAGTGCTTGCATATTATTTCATGAATCCTTTGTTTACTTTACAGGGTACTGATGAAGATGGCGGTGATGATGAGGATTCTGGTGATGACCAGTTGTCTGGGGATTCTGCATCAGCAGATGATAGTGGAGAAGCTAGTGATTCAGGTACTATATTCACAGATTCACATGAATATCGTGGTTGCTGCACCGATCTATGATACAGATTGTTGTTAATTTCTTTGCTCAAACAACTATCTTTGCATATTAAAGTGATATCATTTTTTTTGTTTTTGCATCTATTTTTTTCTGTTTTAGAGGATGAAATTGAGAACACTTCAAAATGGAAAGAATCCCTACTTGCAAGAACACTGTCCCGACGGAGTGCTAATTTGATGCAACTTGTCTATGGACTACCTTCAACAAAGCTAGGCGGTGTTGCGCTAGAAGAAAATGATGAAATTGAAGCCAATAGCTCAGATGACGAATTTTTCATACCAAAAGGACAAAAGGTGCATATTCGTTGCATGCATGGCTCATGTGTCCAATACAAGCATTACTTTTTTGTATGATAACCTATCATATAAGTTAACCTGTGCCACTTTCAGGCCATGTTCGTTTCTACACCAAACCAAGGGGGTTGGGGGATTAAATCCCCCTTAATCCCCTCCAACCCCCTTGGTTTGGGTAGAAACGAACAAGGCCTCAATGAGTTGATTGGTTTGTAGAGTTTGCTAGAGTAGGGACATTTATAAACCACCTTTATACCCTATCGTTGTACTGTTCCTGTTATATGTTGTTGGGTAATGAAAGTGTTTTTTATGCTTCTTTCTTTAAATGTTCCTCATTTTTTTGGGGGTTGTGAGGGGTGAAGGATCAACCATTTCCCCTTTTTCTATATGTGAATCTGTGATGCAGTACCTGATGTAATGCATATTGCAGACAGTTGCAACAATTGACCCTTGTTTGTTATAGGTTTATAGAACATAAATGTGTGGTTTTTATGGTTTGCAGCAAGCAAAGAATGAATCACCAAGCTTTGACGATATTGATGCTGAGGATTGCTCCAAGTTTTTCAAAGCAGAGCTAAGAGATTGGTCTAATGAAGATCTCATCAAAAGCATCCGTGATCGTTTTGTGACTGGAAATTGGTCAAAAGCTGCTTTAAGAGGACAGGATACAGATGAAAATGGAGAGGATGGTGAGGAAATATATGGTGATTTTGAAGATCTTGAAACTGGTGAGGTACATATGAGCCAGGCAGTTGAAAATGCAGAAGGGAAAGATGATCCAGAAGTTGAAGAAAGAAGACTTAAGAAGCTTGCACTAAGAGCAAAATTTGATGCACAATATCCTTAATATATGGTCCATGTTTATTACCTTTTCATTTCATTCTCCACTTACAATCATATTGAGGAGAAAAGGGCACTGTTACTTTTTTTTTTCATTTTCAGTTTTCTTGGTGTTCCTTTGTTTCGCTTATGGAAAAAAAAAATCTCTACCTGGTCTATTTACTTTGACTGGATACTTTTATTCCTTTCTCTCTCTTAAGTACCTTTTCTATCTTCTCCTTTGATTCTTTGACTGAGACTTACATATGATGGTTCTGAGCTATCCGATGACGAAGTTGATGATGTTAAGAAGAAATCCAGACAAGAACAGTCTAACGGAGGAGGCTATTTTGACAAAGTATTATCATAATGCCCTTTGCCTTGTTGCTTCTTTTGAGGTTCTTCACTTCATATCTTGGTACTAATTAGCTTTTGAACATTCAGCTAAAGGAGGAAATGGAACTTCGCAAGCAAATGAATATGTCCGAGCTCAATGACCTTGATGAAGAGACTCGAGTAGACATTGAAGGATTCAGGACTGGTACTTATGTCAGGTTAGAAGTACATGGTGTGCCATTTGAGCTTGTTGAGCATTTTAATCCTTGCCACCCCATTCTTGTTGGGGGTATTGGCCTTGGTGAGGAGAACACGGGATTCATGCAGGTCTGTTTCTTTGGTCCTATTTGCTGTGTTCTGTAATTCATTTAAATAATTGACATACTAGAATTGCGATTGTGTTTCCATATCAAATTCTCTGTCGATCCATGAAAAAGAAGGTGGCATGCATCTCTCTGCATTCACCTATCTGGGCTAGATCTTTTTCCTTCTGATGCTGTGGGCTGGGATAGTTGCTAGTGATCATTAGTTTTTTTTTTTAATTTATCAATCAATCTATGGTGTACCTTCATAATAATATTATTTGTATCCTCCATGTTTGGTGGGTATTGCATTCGAATCAGAACAAGGAAAAGGAGATCTAGGATTTACGGATAAAGGTATAAGAGCTGTTGCAATTGCATAACAAGTACAGCTGTATGTTCAGTTATAAGTGCCCCACTTATATAACAAATAGAATTCACTTCTCAAATATAAAAAGTTCATCCCCTAAGGGAAAGCCTCCCCTGAGGCATTGCATTAAGAAGAAGATTGTCTTCCACGGTTGAGAAAAGACCAAGACAGCGAGGACGCGCCTGTGGCCGTGTATAACGCTACAACCATAACTCCATAAGTGGACCATGCATTTCACTGAAATCATGCTACAACCTTTAGGTTGCACATCTTCTTCCCTACTGTGCTACACACACATTCCTCACTTCTCAAAAATATGTGTATTGTACATCCTTCGTAATGCAAAATGTTTATTGTTGTTACAGCATTGTATTCTCTTAGTACGACTGTTCAAATGTATGTTTCTGAATTTCTGTTCATGATTCACATGTACCTTATTCATTCATCATGTAGGCTAGTTTGAAGCGCCATAGGTGGCACAGGAAAGTTCTGAAGACAAAGGATCCAATCATAGTTTCAATTGGATGGAGGCGATTCCAAACAACCCCTGTGTATGCAATAGAGGATCGGAATGGTCGACACCGCATGCTGAAGTATACGCCTGAGCATATGCATTGCTTTGCTATGTTTTGGGGACCACTTGCTCCACCGAAGAGTGGTGTATTAGCAGTCCAGAATCTTTCTAACAATCAGGTAGATTTGGTGATCTGTACATTAGTCCATACATGATTTAGTGATCTTAAATTTTAGAACTTCCTCACACGAATGCCATGTATAATCTTTTCTGCCTTGTTTTGGGGCACTTCTCTCTTTTGTTACTTTGACATGAATCACTATGATTCTAGTTGACTGAACTACTGTGAAGTATATGATCGATAACAGTCTGTTGTAACAACTGTTCATAGCTCAACAAAACAAAATGTCCACAGTTGTGCTGACGTTAAATGTCGACTCTGCCCCGGATGCCATTTTTATGTTTCACAACTCCTTTATCTGAAAAAAGGTTAATGACTATAGAGAGATACTGAAGCTTGTAAAGAGAGCTGAGTTTTAGTGGGTGGATGTGTTTATTAGTGTTTGGTTTAACGAGAACTAGGATTGAGTAAGCCACATCAATGTTGTCCTTTCAATGTGTAACTCAGGACCCCATTTCAAATTACTTTTGATTAATTTGCTTTCTATCTCTCTTTTGGTTATAATCATTTTATGTCCTTAGACTGATATACTTTGCAAAAATGCTTACACATCTTCGCAGGTGCCGTTTAGGATAACTGCAACAGGATGGGTTCAAGAATTCAACAATACTGCCAGAATTGTGAAGAAGATCAAGCTCACAGGCACACCATGCAAGATATTTAAGAAGACTGCACTAATCAAAGGAATGTTCACATCTGATTTAGAGGTTGCTAGGTTTGAAGGTGCCGCCATTCGGACTGTAAGTGGAATCCGAGGACAGGTTAAAAAGGTAATGAGTAAAATACCATGCTTTCATAGTTTGTCACGGTTATAAATGTTAACTGTTTAACTGTAAGCATGCAAATAATTTCTTGTTTATTACAGGCAGCAAAGATTGAGCCAGGAGATATGTTGAAGAGAAAAGGGGAAAATACAGAAGGAATCGCAAGATGCACATTTGAGGACAGAATTCTTATGAGTGACATTGTTTTCCTGCGTGCCTGGGTTAATGTTGAAGTTCCCACGTACTGTAACCCTGTGACCACTGCTCTGCAACCTAGAGAGCAGGCCTGGCAAGGCATGAGAACAACTGCTGAGTTGCGGAGGGAAAAAAATATCCCTACCCCACACAACAAGGACTCAGTTTTCAAGGTTCTGAGCCTTTACTAGTTTTCTGATAACATTATTGCATGATTGTTGTCTCTCATATGGTATTATCTCCACTTCGCAGCCTATTGAGCGGAAACCACGGAAGTTCAATCCTGTTGAGATCCCTGCAAAGCTGCAACAGTTACTTCCTTTTAAATCTAAGCCTAAGGATACACCTAAGCAGAAGAAAGTACCAGTTGAAAACAGGGTGCCAGTAATCATGCAACCCAGTGAGAAGAAGACACATGCAGCTATACAACAGCTAAGGCTGATAAAACAAGAGAAGGTAATGCCTCAAGCACACAGCAGCCAGTTCGATTGTCAGCCGTTATTCTGCTTCTTGCTCATGATTCTCTTGTATCCGTGCAGGCAAAGAAGAAGAAAATTAAAGAACAACAGAAGAAAAAGGCATATGAGGCAGAGAAAGCCAAGACGGAGCTACTGACGAAGAAACGACAGAGGGAAGAGAGGCGTGAGAGATATCGGGAAGAAGATAAGCAAAAGAAGCGTGCACGCAGATGAGTCCAGTGAGGCGAAGAAGTGATATGTGCACCACGAACCCAGCAGCAACCAGGGCATGTTCTCTTCAGCAAAACATGTGCCACAATCTTTCTTAGTTGATAGCTGGTCAGTTCTGAAAGGTGCAATACCCATCTGGGCGGTGACGCATGACGATGTCATAATCAGGGCCTGGATTCAGCTTACCTGCACTACTCTAGGCGGAGAAGGTCAAGTTAGGTTGCTCGTGAAGTTATGTATCGTTCACCCTAACATGGAATATTGTCTTAATGTTAGGCAAACACATGTGGTCTTTAGCTCCCAAATAAATTGCGTGTCAGAATTTGGAGTGTATACTACCTCAGGTACCGAATGTTCTTGTGGAGCTGTGATACTCTGCTGTCGTCGACGTTTCGTTACTGGTTCCGACTGACAAGGACATGTCTTAGGCAATCCCGTTCGCCTTATCCCATATTCGGCTTGTTTTTTCAACCGGAACGGTGTTTTTCTCTCACAACAATTCAGTCGAACGGTGTTTTTTCAGCCAGTTTCAGAAGTTTCAAACCAGCCAAAGTATGTAGCATGTGCTTTTAGCTCTGTTGTCTGCGTCCTAAACGATGGTGCAAGTTTGCAGCAAACGAGTACATGCATAAGAAAATGAACTATATCGGTGTGAAGGAGGGCGTGTTTGGTTGGTTCTATCTCCTTCATTCTGACTAGGTGAAAATCTGTATAATCTGATAAATAAGTTTGTTTGGTTGTCTGCTGAGTGGATTTAACGGTTTGCATGAATGGTTATAAAAATACATCGTCATATTGTCCTGATGAATATGCTAAAAATTAGTTTCACTAGTCATTTTGGCTAGTAGATGCAATATCATGTGCTGGCCCATAGGTCATTCTCTAGCAAAGAGCTCCACATTTGCCCACACAGGCAATCAAATGTCTAACTTACCATTATTCTTTTTAGATCAATGTATTCACTCAACCTGTTTCTATTCATGTAGGATGTATGGAGTATTATGAAAGTATCAAAACACACACTTGTTTCCCTTCTCCCAATTGAGGGTCTGTTTGGAACGCAGGAATCGTGTAGGAATTTCACATGAATCAGTTCAATTTCACAGGAAAAATACAGGAACAGAAAAATTTTCCAGTGTTCCAAACAGGCCCTGAATGGGTTGAATCCATACATACAACCAACTATTTTCTCAGTTGAATGGGTTGAATCCATACAACCGACTAAACAATATTCTTTTCAGGATAATGCATCCATTCAAGTTCACTCAGGTTGGACATACATTACAATGCTGTCAAAGCTTCACCCATGCTAGATATATACATTACAGGCCCTGTTCGTTTGGAGGAATTTGTGAGAGAGTGAACAGTGAATTTCAGCCGTGAACAATTCCACTGAAGTTCACACCAGCCGAACGGCCCAACAACGTGGTGAAAGCAACAAGACGTACACTTATTTACCTTCTCCCAGTTAAATGGGTAACGTGCAGACATGGGTGGTCCTATTTGATAGAGCACACCTTGATGGTTCCACTGAATTTTTGTACTCTGGATAAATGAAAAGATTAAAGAAACTCCGGACAAGCAAAGCACTAAACCAAAACAATGGGATGGCTCAAAGAGTGACGACCCTGAGTCCTGAGACCAATACCTGGCGATTTTGCTGATAAGATAATACGCTTAGCTGAATGATGATTAGTAGGGCCAGCGTAATGCCGGCAAACAGCTTGGCAAGACATGGCAGGTCAAAGCGACCCCCCGCTCAGGCTGTAGACCGAGACGATCACGCGAGACGAGAGGGACGGTGGGCGTCACGACGCCACGAACACCCCCGCATGTTAGTAGGGCCCAAGTGCGGAGCCCACATTCCGTGTGGCCCCCCATTCGACGGCCCTGATTGCGCCAGCGCACACGACCGGAGAATCGCCGTCACCAGATTAAGCGGAGGGCAACCAGCCGTGCCGGGCTGGCTCATAGCTTGCATTTGGCAGCTGCAGGCCGTGCCGCTGCAGCCTGGCCACTCAAGCTGGCTCCACCGCCCGCGGCGCGCAGCCCCCGCTCGGCCCCGGATACCGGGCCCACGTGTCAATGGCACGCAGTCGATAAATCTGGCTGTGTTGCGGCACTAGCAAACCGTCCAGCGTTTAGTACGACCTCATTAAAATCTCAACGGCACTGACATGCGGGACCCGCCCGATAGCCCCGCCCCCGCACACACACATGGGCCGCGATTCCCACCACCGCGTCGCCGCTGCTGCCGAGGCGAAAAGGCTAAACAATCCAACGGAAGCGGGGACGCGCAAGCTCAACCGAGCACGACAGTGCGAGCTGTCCACCACCACCTCCCGGCGCCACCGTCACCGTCACCGTCACCGCATCGCGGCGCACCACACGTAGCTAGCGCCCACGCCACTGCACGTAGGGTCCACCCCCGTTGTCCCCACCTGCCAGTGAGTCCCCACCGAAACGCCACCATCGCGCCGACGCGACGGCTGTAAACAACAGACGGGGGAGTGAAACCAGCGAGCAAAGAGCGCAGCGGAGCAGGGTAGGTCGCCGTCGCCGTCGCCGTTGCCGTTGCCGTTGCTGGCCTGGCCTCGCTCGCCCCCTCCCACTTAATGCCGCACCGCCCGAATCCGAAGTCTTCTCTCTTCCCTAACGCCACCACCCTCCCCCCTCCCTTCCCCACGCGCGGGCTGCTGCTGCTGCCACCTTCTCCTCCCCACAAATCTCGACTCCGCCGCCGACTCCGGCCCCGAATCCATCCCAGATCGGCGCGGGCGCGCCGCTTGATGTCCGATCTGTGAGAGGGGCTCGCCACCATGAGGGCCTTGCTGCTGCTGGCGCTGCTCCTGGCCGCTTGCGCCGCGGCGGCGGCGCAGGCGACGGGAGGGGCCAACTCCACCTCCACGCCGTTCGTGCCGCGGGACGACATCCTGCTGGACTGCGGCGCCAAGGGGCAGGGCAACGACACGGACGGCCGGGTGTGGACCGGGGACGCCGGGTCCAAGTACGCCCCGCCGGACAACCTCGCCTCGGTGGCCTCCGCCTCCGGCCAGGATCCCTCGGTGCCGCAGGTGCCGTACCTCACCGCGCGGGTCTCGGCCTCGCCCTTCACCTACTCCTTCCCGCTCGGCCCGGGCCGCAAGTTCCTCAGGCTCCACTTCTACCCGGCCAACTACTCCAACCGCGACGCCGCCGACGGTCTCTTCTCCGTCTCCGTCGCCATCCCGGGCGGAAAGCTCACGCTGCTTTCCAACTTCAGCGCCTACCAGACGGCTGCCGCGATCACCTACTCGTACCTCATCCGGAAGTTCTCCGTCAACGTCTCGTCCCCGACGCTCGACCTCACCTTCACCCCGGAGAAGGGCCACCCCAACGCCTACGCGTTCGTCAACGGCATCGAGGTCGTGTCCTCCCCCGACCTCTTCGACATCTCCACTCCCAACATGGTTGCCGGGGACGGCAACCTCCAGCAGTTCCCAATCGATGCTGGCACGGCGATGCAGACCATGTACCGGCTCAACGTCGGAGGCCAGGCGATTTCGCCCTCCAAGGACACGGGCGGTTACCGGTCCTGGGACGACGACTCAACCTACATCTTTGGCGCTAGCTTCGGGGTCAGCTACCCGAAGGATAACAATGTCACCATCACATATCCAAGCAATGTGCCGGAGTATGTGGCGCCAGAGGATGTCTACGGCACAGCGCGTTCCATGGGACCAACTAAGGAAGTGAACATGAACTTCAATCTCACATGGATGTTGCAGGTGGATGCTGGATTCATGTACCTTATCAGGCTGCATTTCTGTGAGATCCAGTACCCGATCACGAAGATCAATCAGCGGGTCTTCAATATTTACATTAACAACCAGACTGCAGTCAAGGGTGCTGATGTGAATGCGTGGGCGGCCATGAGTGGTGCTACCACCCTTATTGGCACTCCGGTGTATCAGGACTATGTGGTGAGCACACCGGGTGTAGGGGCCATGGATTTATGGATAGCTCTCCATCCGGATCCTGACACAAAACCACAAATATATGATGCTATCCTCAATGGCATGGAGGTGTTCAAGTTACAGCTTACCAATGGTAGCCTTGCAGGGCTCAATCCTATCCCAAGTGTTGCCCCTGCACATGATGGGACAACTAAGAAGAAGTCAACTGTTGGGCCTATCGTCGGTGGAGTGGTTGGAGGTTTGGTGGTTCTTGCACTTGGGTATTGCTGCTTCTCTGTGATCTGCAAGCGTAGGAGGAATGCTGGGAAGGATGCAGGCATGAGCGATGGACATTCTGGTTGGCTGCCCCTGTCTCTTTATGGCAATTCACACACTTCCAGTTCAGCCAAGTCACACACTACTGGTAGCTATGCTTCATCTTTGCCATCCAACCTGTGCCGCCATTTCTCTTTCGCTGAGATCAAGGCCGCAACAAACAACTTTGATGAGTCCCTTATTCTTGGTGTGGGTGGATTTGGTAAAGTTTACCGTGGTGAGATTGATGGGGGAACAACTAAGGTGGCTATCAAGCGTGGCAATCCCTTGTCTGAGCAGGGTGTGCATGAGTTCCAGACCGAGATTGAAATGCTGTCCAAGCTCCGCCACCGTCATCTGGTGTCACTGATTGGGTACTGCGAGGAGAAGAATGAAATGATCCTGGTCTATGATTACATGGCTCATGGTACTCTCCGCGAGCACCTGTACAAGACCCAGAAGCCACCTCTTACCTGTAGGCAGCGTTTGGATATCTGCATTGGTGCAGCTCGTGGGCTTCACTACCTTCACACTGGTGCCAAGCACACCATCATCCACCGTGATGTGAAGACAACAAACATCCTCCTGGATGAGAAATGGGTTGCCAAGGTTTCAGATTTTGGTCTGTCCAAGACTGGCCCATCTATGGACCATACTCATGTGAGCACAGTTGTCAAAGGCAGTTTTGGTTACCTTGATCCTGAATACTTCCGCAGGCAGCAGCTCACAGAGAAATCTGATGTCTACTCTTTTGGTGTTGTGCTGTTTGAGGTCCTCTGTGCACGGCCTGCCCTGAACCCTACTCTTCCAAAAGAAGAAGTTAGCTTGGCGGAGTGGGCGTTGCACTGCCAGAAGAAGGGCATTCTTGATCAGATTGTTGACCCCTACCTGAAGGGAAAGATAGCTCCACAATGCTTCAAGAAGTTTGCTGAGACAGCTGAGAAGTGTGTTTCTGATCAGGGTATTGACCGCCCTTCGATGGGTGATGTGCTCTGGAACTTGGAGTTTGCCCTTCAGATGCAGGAAAGCGCAGAAGAGAGCGGAAGCCTTGGTTGTGGGATGTCGGACGAGGGCACTCCCCTTGTGATGGTCGGAAAGAAGGATCCAAATAACCCATCGATCGAATCAAGCACCACCACCACAACCACCACTTCTATAAGCATGGGCGATCAAAGCATCGCGAGTATGGACTCGGATGGGCTGACGCCTAGCGCTGTCTTCTCACAGATCATGAACCCCAAGGGGCGGTGAGGTAAAGCTGGTCCGATTCGTTACCTTGCAGGCATAATTTATTCATTCAGCATGTTTTTCATGAGTTCGTGCTGTTGATGTTCTCTCAAGTTATGAACCAGAAGTAAGAGAATTGTTTCATACTAGATATTCTGCCTTGCCTTGTACTTCTTCTCCAGTATTGTAATGACTATACATCTGTTGGCTTGTATTGTACTGCTGCTATTGACCCAACTAGTATTTTACTGTATGAGAAAGTGATGTGCACGAACTATTCGTATGGGTGGTTGTGTGACGTGCTGTTAGGAAGGAGTCTCAACTCTGAATACGACATCTATACTTGATAATCATTTTTCAATCTTTATGGATTACAAGTTGATAGATCGTTGTCTGGTTATTAGCAGAACTGAGGTTGTGTCGGTCTTTGTCCTTCAGACAAATTCCAATTGTCAAACAATCCATAGACCGTCTTCGACAACTAATCGAGCTGGCAGCTGAGATATTCTTCCTTTAGACAAAGTGAAAGCTGTGGACATTTCACATTGGATTATAGGCACTGGGCGGTTCACGAGAGCTCTTAAGGTGTTATGGTCACTAATATACTATTTTTTTGTGTAGCGGATGTTGATTGATTGTGTGATGGTGACTAACAGAATATGGCGGGTTATACTTCATACCTCTTGTTTCATACTGGAGTTGGGAAAGATCATGTAAACCAATGAGACATTATCTAAAAAAATGTAAACCAATGATAATGATGCACTGGATTGTGTCCGTTTAGTTCCATTTTCTTGGCATTCACTGGCAGTTGCCACTTTCGCTTTCTTAAGCTCGCTCCTTCGACGACCCATCTGAGCTGGGAATTTGTTTAGAGGGTTGTTTTGGTGCAGTCGAGAAAACGCTGCCGAGGTGACGGGAGAACCCCCACAGTGTTTGGCCTCGGGCGGTCGCGCCTGTGCGGTTGGAACAGAGGCGACGAACCAATTCGATATGGTTGTTGATTCCCATGTTCACATCTCCTGATCTGCTGCCCAATGATAGGCACAGATTGTGCTCTACTCGCATTTGTGAGTTGTTTTCTCCCACCGTCAAGCCCATCTGTCCACACCAAAGCGGCCAAGCCTGGCTATTCCAAATTCCAGCTAGAGGCTCTGCCAACCCCCATTATCCTTCCGTTAAGACTGCATCAATATCCTGATACCCAGCTACGGAACATGAGTCATAACAAACGAGGCGTGTCAGTGTCACTCTGCATCAGTTATGCGCCGAACGTTCTTAAAGAAGGCTAAAGCTCATGGTGATTGATGAGCAAGTCGTATCTTTAATTTAAAAAGAAAAAAAAAAGATTGGTGAGCAAGTCGTGCCTGCAATCCAGCTTGCAGAACCTGACCGTTCTCGCGCAAGGATCAACTCTGCTGAGAACAGAAAATTGAAAGGGAGATGACACCGGTAGAAGGATTCATGGGCTCCAACTTGCGACCCTGATCGTGCGAGGGGGCTGCTGCACCTGCCACTTGCTGCCAGCTGTCAACAGTTGCGTTCGGAATCACACGCGTTTACGCCTGCGGTCATGTTCAAAGTGGTGAGCCGGTGCACGGGCACGGCCAGGCAGTAGCACTTGAGTACTGACCTAAACTTGCCCTGTGGAACATGCAGCCGTTTTGTTTAGCGCAGTATTTACGTCCTGTTCGCTTGTCTTATAAATCGTATTTTTTCATCAACGAATAATATTTTTCTTTCCCAACAAATTAGCCAACAGTATATTACTCATGGGTTATGAGCCAGACGACCAGGGCACTAGACGTTACACGTCCACGTCCAATGAGAAATGGAGGAGCTAGCAGCAAAGGCTTTTTGCGGAAATCATCCGGTCCGAACTGCCGGACCTAGTAGTGCGCCGAACGGAGCGCGGGAAAAGTAGGCGGGAGGCGGTGTGCGGAACCGTGCGCGGGACGCAGGTACGTAATGTTTCCTTATTCTTTTCATATTTATTTTTTCTTTCCTTTCTTTTTCTTTTTTTTTTTTATTGTTTTATTTCCTTGCTTCTATTTATTTTTCCTTTTTCTTTTCTTTTTTTTAGTTTTCTATATGTTTTTCATTCTTATTATTTCCTTTCATTTTCTTATTTATTTTTACCTTTTTTTTTTTTTTTTTGATTTACTTTTATTGTTTTTCCTTGCTTCTATTTATTCTCCCTTTTTCTTTTCTTTTTAAGTTTTATAGGTTTTTTCATTCTTATTTTATTTTTTCTTTCTTTTTAATTTTTTCCATCCTTATTTAAGTTATTTATTTATTTTATGTTCTATATATATATATATATATATATCATTTGTTAATCATCGTGATCATTGAATGTGTGTATATATATATCCTTCCGGATTTTTGTAGTAATGTTTAATGTTCTATGTTGGTTTTTATCATGTTCACGTAGGATATCACGTGTGTTTATGTAGTATACATGTGATGTTATAGGATGTTTTGGTGATGTTCACTTATACATGTGATGTTCTATGATGTATTTAGTAATGTTCATGTAATATATACGCGATGTTCTATAATGTATTTAGTGATGTTTAATGGTGTAGTTTGTGATGTTCACTTAGTATACATGTGATGTTCTATAGTATATTTTTATGATGCACGTGATGTTCTTTTAAATTTTTCTTTGTTACGTATTTTTATTTTATTTTTCCAGCCCCAGCCGATCAGGGCAACAGTATAGCCACGTGCCCACGGACTTCATGCAGCGAAAGGGTAAATAGCGGGCCGTCGCTGTCGAGGAGAGAACAAAACCAATTCTCGAGCCAATACTGATGCGACTGGGCGCGAGCAAACAACAAAACACGTCGCCGGGCGGACTGCTCTACTCGTAGGAAAAAAGACTTGCTAAAAGCATTAGGCTATGCTCACGTTTTTCAGTGAGGTGCTTGGGCTTTAAGCCCTGCACTGAACAAACTGGGCTGCTATGTCAGGCTTAAAAGGCTAGGTGCTTGGGCTTAAGCCCTGCACAGAACAAACTGGGCTGCCATGTCAGGCTTAAAAGGCTAAGCCTGTTTGGAATGGAGGAAATGAGAACAGGAATTTTTGTATTTAGAAAAAAAACTAATACTCCCTTCATTCGCAAAAAATACAATTATAGAACCATGCTGGCCAAACTTGTCCAAATTTAACCAAGTTTATAGTAAATAATATTAATATTTATGTGTCCAAATAAATTTATTATGAAAATATATTCTATAAATAATCTAATGGTACTTATTTTGTGTCATGAATGTTAGTACTTTTTTATACATATTCAGTCAAAGTTCAAATTGCTTTGATTTCTCGAAAAACGAGAATTGCATTCTTTTATGGACGAATGGAGTATTAAAAAACAACATATTTTAGGCTTAAATTTTAAGAAGCCATCTTTTTTTATCACACCAAAGCACATGGTGCGGTCAGGTGCCACTGCAACTCTCGTGGATCAAGTTAGCCATGTGGAGATGACGTGGAGGACCAGTCACGCCACTGCATTTGGCGCGACAGAGTCATGCCAAACGAGACGGTGTGACGTGTGACGCGAGCAAACAAGCAAGCGTCGTTGTGGCGACTGCTCTACTCGTAGGTTATATATTCACCAGCATTAGGCATTACCCCGTTTTTCTTCTTTTCCTCTCTCTTCATTCTCCTGAATAAAGCTCGAGCTGCATCCAATCCGATCATAGCTTAAGCCCTGCACCTGGCTGTCACCTGGTTCCTCCCTTAGATCTTCCTATTTCTTCACCGATTCAAGCAACCAAGAAGGCAAGGAGTGGAAAACATGAATTTAATTCGCTTTGTATGAATGTGCTATGATTTGATTCGCTTGTACTGATTTGAACTGATTTGATTCGCTTGTATGAATGTGCTAGGATTTAGGGTGGTAAGGGTTAGGTGCTCCGGGTGTTAATACATATGAGTGTTATTAGATCAGGATAGATCGGACGTGTATATTCAGATATAACATAATGTTCAACCGACATAAAAAAAACATCAGAAGCGGCTGAATTTTTTGCTGATAATGAATCAGTAGAGAAAAACAGCATATTTTAGGGATGAAAAAGAAGCGGATCAAGCCAGGTTTGGGGTCAGCCGAACAAGCCCATTGAGTAGCGACACTGTAAATAAAATTGAAGAGTTTGTTAAGATGAAAAAACAATTTATAAGATTTGAGTGTAAGTGTATTTACCTCTTTGGTGGATGTTGATAGATTGAATGACAATATGAGTAAAGGCATGTTTGCATCCATTAGTTGCTAATAGGTCACAACTAATACTAGGTGATATTAGCTAGTTTGGTCCCACTAATAAATAGTTGTTAGTTGTGTGATTAGCTAACAATTAGCTAAACTATTGGCTAGACCTGTTAGGATCAAGGAGATGGATCCAAAACCTAAAGGTTTAACATGTTTGATAAGTGTTGAACATGAATTTAATTAGATTGCATATACTTGAGATATGAAAGTTTTTTTTAAAAAAAAACTAGAACTCATCTAGAATCGTTCCAAACAGGCACCCTTTATTTTGGATTAGGATAGGATTGCAAAAGTTCCACAGGACAACTTTAATCATGTTTGAGAATCCTGTGCTACAAAAACGATCTAAAACGTCACTGGAGTTTTGAAGGGTTAAGATGAAAAAACAATCAAATAAGAAATAGAATGACGTGTAGGTGGTTTGGTTTTTCGTTTGGTGGATGTTGATAGATTTCTGTGAAGTTTGGTAGTTCGGTTCGGTTTGGTTTTTATTGATACCGAGCCAAAAACCGAAAATATGAGAAACCTGTTTTTTTTTAGTTGTTTATCAAAACCGATGGAGTATTGTGGTTTATTATCAAGAATAAATAAATTTGTAATATTTGATTTGAGCATTGAATTGTTAAACTATTGGCTCTTGAGTCTTCAAATAATATCAAGGTGATGATGCAAGTTTGTACTAAGGTTTAACATGTTTAATAAGTGTTCGAACATGGTTTTAATTAGATTGAAAACTTGAGATATGAAAAATTTTTTTATAAAAAATTGGTCGGTTTTTGAAATTTTAGCAAACCGATCAGGAGTCATTTTTTGGGAACCGAAATTTTGAAAAACCAAAAACAACTTTAATCATGGTTGAGAAACCGAACGCCCAGGCTGATCTAAAACGAGGAACGACGAACAAAGGAGCATCGCAACCGTTGGATCGCCACCCAGCTCTGGACCTTCTCACCTTCTCATAACCCTTGCCCCCTTTTCCCAACGCCGCCGTCTCCACTTTCCACTCGCCACGCCGATTTCCCTCGCTCCTCAGACGCCGAACCCTGATTCTGATTCTCTCGTGCGCGTGACATCTAGGTTTCCAGCCGCCTGCGGTGAGTACAGGGAAGGAAGTCGCCATGGCGGACGACGAGCAGGCGGAGAAGAAGGAGGAGGTCCCCGAGGTGATGTGCTCTCGTCCCCTTCTCACAGCGCATCCAGTTAGGTCCGATTCGGTTGGGTTCTGGCGGCGATAAGCTGGCCAACTGTCGTGCTTGTGTCCGCGTGAGTAGGCCGGCGGGCTTTGGACTAAACCCTCACCTCCCTGCCTCCTCCCAGCGCTCCCCAAAAGAACGCTAATATGTGGAATCTGCGTGAGCAGATTAAGTTAGTGTGACGAGGTATAGGATCGATTTGAAGTTGGGTGAGTAGCTAGGGGCTAGACCTTTAGATGTGATGGGCTACGCTGCTAGGATTGAAAAGTTCTTGCTGGGTGTCTTAGAACTGTTGGATTTTTACTCTCTGGGTAATAGAGCTGCGCCACATCGATATATATATTTTAAAACAAGGACTATGTGTTGTGCAAATGGATGGATGCAAAATCATTTTTAGTTGTACCTGAAGTGTACTGCCTTGTACATGAATCAAGGATTGTTCTTTTTTCCTTAAAGATGGTTGCTATTTATTATAGCCTGATGTTGAATTTAATAATTTGGTGCATGATGTCTATTAAATTATTTGTGATACTCCCCTAGTAGCATTGTCTGACTGTCTAGGATCCTTTTTCTTCCTTGTGCGTTCATGTTGATAGTGTTTATAATTATCTTGCAGCTTGCTCCTTTTGATCCAACCAAGAAAAAGAAGAAGAAGAAGGTGGTGATACAAGAGCCATCAGATGAGGTGGATAACTTGGCAGAGAAGACTGAGAGTTTGACTGGTGTGTTTAGTATCTACAAAAAGTAGAGTAGTTCACTGAAGATATTTTTAATGATATGCATTTATTTATGCAGTAGCTGAGTCTAGTGAACCAAGCTTTGCGGGCACGAAAAAGAAGAAGAAGAAACATGTGAGTTTATTCTTCTGTCACCATTTGGTTTCAAATGGTTTGACTAGTGATTACTTTTTATTATGGTTCAGTTTTTCAATTGTGTAAATTTCAGGTGGAACTTGATCCTTCTCTTACTGAGACCGGAGATGGTGATGACGCTGGAGGTAAATATATTGCTCATTCAATTATCTTTTACCGTACATTTCTTACTGTAGTTTAACGTCTGTGCTCCAGACGATCAAGTTAGAGAGGATGAAGAAGGAGAAGGGATTGTGCTCAGTGGTGCTGCTGCCACCAGATACCCTTGGGAAGGAACTGACAGAGATTATAAGTATGAAGAGGTATTTGATACACCCTGTTCGAAATTGCTCATCAACCTGTAGTTGACAGATCATGGATAATACAGCAAAATTAACATAAATAAAATTTACTTTATGTTGCTATGTGTTATGGTAGAGCCTTTCTCCTGTAGTATAAGTTGTTTGTTTGTATGATTCATTCTATTGTGGTACAGTGTCATTTTGCTGCTCTTAAACGCCATTTTTCATGTGTTTCTTGATTTAGTTTTTGCTTCTCTTCATTTACCTTCCTCCCTCCTTGAAATTATGGGCTTGTTTGGTTAGAGCCCTCACCTAAAATTCCTGTGGTGAGAGTTGCCTGTGTTTGTTGCCATGCTTCAGGCGTAGGCATGTTTGGTTGGTGGCCTGCCAGGCAGGTTTCTCGCCAGGTGACCGAAATTGATGGCCTGGATCTGCTGCCTGGCAGGCAGCCTTGCCTGGCGGTAGAATCAAACTTGCCTGTCTGTAATCAATGTTCAAGAGGTCAAGAACACACTTTCCTGATTGCAAATACAGGCAACTCCTAAACCAAACACTGCGTGCGGCGTGCCCCTTCTGTCCATACAGGCATGTTATGAGGGCTTCAGCCAAACACTACCATGAATTTGAGATATGCCTGACCAGACAATTCTACAACCTATAACAGGCAGTTCACAGGCGGGTATAGAGCTCAGGCAACTCAAGGGCTTGAACCAAAAAGCCCTATTATACTGAAAGAACATCTTGCCAATATATATATTTTTACCAGTGATCCAATTATGTTTTCTTTCTTGGTGAAATCTTATCTTCAATCTTTTTGGTTGCAGCTGCTTGGCAGAGTATTCAATATTCTACGTGAGAACAACCCGGATCTTGCTGGTGATAGAAGAAGAACCGTTATGAGGCCCCCTCAAGTCCTCAGGGAAGGAACAAAGAAGACAGTTTTTGTGAACTTCATGGACTTGTGCAAAACGTATGATCCTATTTTGTTTAATGATCACCACTTGTGTTGATTTCAAAAGAATAAACAGCCAAGCTGAAAGCAAATTATTATTCTCTTTCCAGAATGCATAGGCAACCAGAACATGTGATGATGTTCTTGCTTGCTGAGATGGGAACTAGTGGATCCCTGGATGGGCAACAAAGGTTGGTTATCAAAGGAAGATTTGCGCCAAAAAATTTCGAAGCAATACTTAGGAGATATATCAGTAAGATAAATAGCTCTCTGACTCCTACTCCTTATTCTTTATTGTAACTGTTTCTAGTAATATAGTGTCTTATCTCAATATTCTGGCCCGAAGCTGTGATATAGAAGAATGAACTTCTAGTGCCAATATACTGTCTTTTTTCATTCATTTCCTATTGGTTAGTTATTATACAAAACACAATGTATTTAAAAACGGCATTGAGTGCCAAAGAGTCTTACGTAAGTAGGTAGAATTATCTTATATATTCTCTAGATGTATCAACTTGCCATGATGTGCTGAGTCATAACTTGGCTTGTGGTGTGTAATAGCTGTCTGTATCCAGTACTTCAATCATGAACCTTTTGATCTTTTCATAACCTGGACACAAAGGATTAACGGATGGCTTGAGATGATCCCAGCAGCCTTATTCTTTGTAACTCTGTATATAAGTTTTTTTCAAAAACAAGGGCTAGGGAAACTTGCCAAAGCACAATGATTAACGGGTGGCTGGAAGTGACCTCAGCAACCCTGTTCTTTCTCCTATTCCATTTAATAAGTTTTTTCAAGAGCAGGGGTTAGGGATACTTAAAGCCTGGACAAAATCATTAGTGGATGGATTGAAATAATCTGGGCAACCCTATATCTTTCTTGAACTCCATATTTTTTTAAAAAAAGAGCAGGTGTCTGCAAAACTTAAAATGAATGGTAGGTTAGAACTTGTATTAGGTATTCGTTGATGTCCTTTCCTTTTTCTATGTGGCAACACGAATGGTTTACCATTTTTTATTTTTATTTTCTAAATTTGCTAAAAAATTCTTCCTTTTTGTGTAATAAACTAATAATTTCACTTTTTAGATGAATATGTCATATGCAATGGCTGCAAGAGTCCGGATACCATTCTTTCTAAAGAGAACAGGCTGTTCTTCCTCCGATGCGAACAGGTAAATTATTTCATAGTGTTGCATTCCCAATTCTCTCTAGTTTCATCATGTGGGTATTTGTTGCATAATATCTTGATCCTATTATCTGGAGGGCTTCTAGATTAAACATTGTCTATGTGCGTGCTTGCCTGCTTGGCATGGCTTAGTGTCCTGGGCAAAAGCTTGCTTCAATAAGAAGTTGAAAACTGGAAAATTACCCTGGATATAGTCTACCCTAAGGCATAATATTGGTGATGCCTGATGGTGCATGGGAGTCACTATTTCTGATTTCCAAACTTTTGCCTACTATTTGGTTTTGGTTTTTCGGCCAGGGGAATTAGAGATTATGTACATCTACAGAAGGGGTGTATTTACTGCAAACCATGAACTTTTTCTCGAATACGCAAAAGGTTTGCGTATCATTGTATTAAGTAGAAGAGTTTGAACAAACATACAACGCGCTTCTATCGAGCGCCGTTGGAGGTCAACCTAACACAGCCGTAGCTGGACAATCCTAGCAAAACACCTATTGTTTCGATATTACATAACAGGAATCAACCGATACCGACGCAGCGGTGTGCGACCTAGGAGGTGGCCTTGCGTCTTCGCGGCTGCCTGGACGAGCCCTTTGCAACGGCCGGGAAGCAAACCATGATCTAACTTTGCATGTGCATTGCTGCCACCTACTTTATACTTATTGCACTGTGATTTCTATAGATCTTGCCTATGATGACTTGCATGTTGCCTACATTGTCTGATTAAATCTCTATGATAATAGTCGCAAGATCTGAGGCTTCTAACTGCATCACCTCGCATATGTATATACTAACCATAATAGCATTGGTCTTCTTTTTCTCCGGCACAGATGGACCGATTTTCATTACCCAAGAGCAATGAAATTATAAAAGTTTAACAATCCATAGTGCGTGTTTAACCAGAGCTAACCAAACTGCCAGTTGTACTGAACTCCCAGGGTTCAGACAAAAGGCAACCAAAACCACCAAAACCCAATAGCATTAGTCTTTGTTTATAAACTTTGCCTGTGATGACTTGCAAGATGAATGCCTACATTGTCTGACATATATCTCATATCTGTATGATAATAATTGCAAGAGCTGAGGCTTCAAACTTGGTCGTAATTTATCGTCATGTGTGCATTTTCATTTTCAAGTGAGCACATAGTTGCAGAGCTTGGTAGCTGCTGCTACATTCGTTCAACTCTTGTGGAGTTGCCAATGATGAGTTGCAAAATTATTGCCTACATTGTTTGACAAACATCCTTCTGATAATAATTGCAACAGCTGAGGCATACAGCAATGTCATTAGATTTCTTTGGCATCATATTTGTTGCTTCTGGCTTAAAAGAAATGTTTTGTTGGTATCACACTTTATTGAGTTGCATTGCCTACATTGTTTGCTCAGCTGGGTGAGAAAATCTGAGGACAAATGAACACCCCCTCAATAAAGTATTTCGTTGATATAGAGCTAGGAATCTGAGCACTATAATGCTAACTTGGTGTGGGTTGGCATAGTGGCATCTGTTTGAACACTTCATGAGACATGGGTATCCTAACTAACTGCTGGATTTTTCACCTTGCAGTGTGGTTCGTCGAGGTCTGTTGCTCCCATCAAGGCTGGATTCGTTGCCCAAGTCGGCCGTCGTAAGGCTGGATCTTGAGCTACCAACGAGTACTGCCTGGACTCGCTTCCCGATCATGACAATGCAAACTAGCTTGCCGGTCCACCAAAATTATTGTTCCACTTGCCTTTGTGCCTACACCGTTTACTGGATTTGTGCTGTTCGCTTTACTTGGATTGGAGCTGTGAATTTATTTCATGTGATGAGAGGATTTGTGTTTGCGGCTCACTTGGTGTTTACAGTACGTTTGTTTTGCTCATAATTCGCTGTGGAATGCACTGTCGGGAAGCTTCCTGAATTGGACGAGTAACCAAAAAGAGAGAATTTCTTATTTGACTCTGATTGAAACTTGTTTTTCTTCCTTGCCCTGGAATAAATTTTTTTACCTATTTGGCCTCACTGAACTTTTGATTTCTAATCTGGCCTTACCGTCAGCTGTGGCCTTTAACGGCGTTAAGTGGTACATGAAATGACCAACTTACCCCTTGGATATTATGAGGAATCAAAGAGCATTTGTGGGGTTTGGTGCTTGATTGTTCCATGCTAATTTGCCTGCTCAAAGTTGTTTATAGTAGCGTTTGCATCACAATGCCAGCAGCGGTTCCAGGACCATGAAAAAAAAAGCAACACGCTTTCCTTTCCACAGCCATCGCCAAAAAAAAAACACGAGCTCCGCTCGCTTTGGACTCCACCACCGCTGCCTGCCGCACGCGGCCCCTGGCAAAGCCGCGCCTGCCGCTGCGCCTGGCGCCCGCCACCGCCCGCAGCCCCGTCAGTGCCTCGTCGTCTGCCGCCCGCGCCCTGGCAAAGCCGTGCGCCGCCACCTGCCGTGTGCCACCGTCGTGGGGCTCGGTGGAGTGCCACATTAGCTCGTCGTGGCGAGCCGCTCGGTTTCGCGTTGCTAGGATCTGGACCTTGGAGGGCCTTGTTCAGCAGCTCTACAGACTGCAGTCCTCTTGCGTGGCCGCGAGCCCACGATTTTCAAGCGTTGGGACGCAGAGGCCGGCTTGACGGCAGTCATCAGTGCAGGCAGGGAGCCAGGCAGCCGTGGCAGGCACGAGCGAAAGTTGAAGCTCGGCTACAGCTGGAAGTTCACCTGGAGCGGGCACCTTTCAGTCCCACACAGACACCTCCCATGCCGAGCCGCGCAGGCCTCTAGCGCCTCGCCGCGGCGCCACTGCAGGCCATTCGCGTCGCCTCGTGCCGCTACAGGACACTTGCGTCGAGCCCCCACCGTGTCCTTCCGTCCCGCCACAGGCCACTCGCGCTGCACCGTGCGTCTGCAGGACACTCGCGCCGCGCCCGCGCGCCGTGGAGGAGAGAAAAGCTTGCACGTAGCCATGGAGGAAGCTAAGTCGGGACGCTGTGGAGGGGTCCAAGACGGTCTTCTTCCTCGCACTTGCCCGCCTTCGCCTGGACGCTGCCGCACGGTATGCTGGACAGGACGTCCGGCCAGCCCCACCGTGTCCGTCAGTCCGTGCTTCGGTTTAGGAACGTGAACCTCACCGCCGTCGCGCCGAGCCTCACGCGGGTGAGCCCGCATGCAGCCCGCAGGTGCTCCAGATGAAGGGCAGCAACACGGACACAACCTCCCTTGTAGTTTGGCTGTTGTGCGGTCCCTGAAGAACAGGGATACGGACACGCTTCACCCCGAGGAGGGCGTAGTAGTCGACGCCGCACCCTATCGCCGATGGCGATGCGGCCACGGAGCTGCTGGATACATGCGGTGCGCGCCGGCAATCTCCCCGAACCGGACGCGCCTTGCGGGCGCCAGCTCGGCCCCAGCAGCTTGCCGTCCCGGAGCGTGGTGTCATACAGGAGCGCGCCGACCGACTCGAGCAGATCGACACGCGCGCGCAGCACCGGGATGAAGAAGCTTCACGTGCGTGAGCAGCTGCGACACGAACTCCTCGGACGTTGTTGTAGAGCCGGACTTGGAGGATGGTGCCGCGCTGCGTTGCGTGGGCGTGGGTGAGGGCGTGAGTCCGTCGCCAAGCACCACCCGCCGCGCCGTGGAAGCAGACGAGTGAGGAAATAATGGACGGCCATCACTTTAGCGCCATCGGATGCATAATGGACGGACGAGATGGTGGGAAAGTTACAACGTGACTTGCTCAAGCAAAGTCATTGGATCTGGATCGAGGAGGGAGACGGGATAGATGGAGGAGATGACACGAAGGAGAGACATGTCTGACTCCTTGGCCCTGTAATATACCAGGGACATTTTTTCAGTTATAAAAAACCTGACAAGTCAATCTTGATCAACTTGGACGGAGATGACGGTAAGGCCAAATTAGAAATCAAAAATTCAAGTGAGGCCAAATAGATAAAAAATTTGTTTCAGGGCCCAGAAAAAAAAAGACAAGTTTCATTCAGGCCAAATAAGAAATTTTCTCAACCAAAAACGTGTTGCTGCCAGGCACCATGGCCGCCCTATCCGCCGAAATCTTTCGAGCCCATACACAGCCTCCAAGAAGAGTAGTCGGGATGAGTGGATAAGCTGACGTGTCGCCCGCGTTGCCGTCGCCCACAAACTCGCTTGTCACTGCCTTTTTCCTTTTGCTCTCCTTTGTGTTCCGCCGTGCTCGCGCCAGTAGAGATGAGGGCCGCGTCGTCCCCAGTGCCCGCCGCCGTCCTCGCGGCCCCCTCCGCCGCCGCCGTCGTCGTAAAGTCTCTGCCTCGTGCCGCAGCGAATGGCGGCGGCAGCACAGGCAGGCGCGACGTGCTTGCCGGGACCGGGCTGGGCGCGGCGCTGCTGCTGGCGCTGGGCCCCGTGTGCGGCGCGGCGCGTGCGGCGGACGAGGAGTACGTGAGCGAGACGAAGGAGGTGATCGGGAAGGTGCGGTCGACGATCAGCCTGGACAAGTCGGACCCGAGCGTGGCCGACGCGGTGGCGGAGCTCCGGGAGCTCTCCAACTCGTGGGTGGCCAAGTACCGGCGGGAGAAGTCGCTGCTGGGGCGGCCGTCGTTCCGGGAGATGTACTCGGCGCTCAACGCCGTGTCGGGCCACTACATCAGCTTCGGCCCCACGGCGCCCATCCCGGCCAAGCGCCGCGCGCGCATCCTCGAGGAGATGGACACCGCCGAGAAGGCGCTCCTCCGCGGCAGGTAGGCCAAACCCCCAGCGAAGCCGGCCATGGCGATCGCCGTCGCCGTGGTTAAACTTGTGGCAGGAGCGCGCGTGCCAGCTCAGCGACAACGCTACCATTTTGTAACTACTGCGATGTACTCAGTATATATATGCATGCATTCGTGATGCGAATGCGAGCTGTGTTTTCGGCCGGCTGGGAGCGTGTCCTGTCACTGTGAGTAAAAAGTTGCCGAGTTTTTGAGGTCTAAGTTTGCGACTTTCAGTCACATTGTGTATCGATCTTGTAAGACCTTCGAATCAGCTACCTATCTTGTTCATAAATTTTGGCGTAGCCGCGTAGACAATGGTAGATAGCCTGGTTTAGATTACAAGTTTTTTCACTCTCTTTCCATCACATTAAATCTTTGGACACATGCATATAGTATTAAATGTAGATAAAAATAACTAATTACACAGTTTGATCGTAAATTACGAGACGAATTTTTTGAGTATAATTAGATCATGATTAAACAATAATTGTTAAATACAAACGAAAATATTATAGTATCAAATACTGATTCCTATGCCCAATCTAAACAAGGCCACGATCGGAGGCACTGATCGCCTGTGGCAGCCGGCATGAGGCAGACACCTGTGGATGCGTGAGGTACTCTTGCCGACGCTGGCAAGACTGACGTGCTCACGTGCAAAGGGGGACGGGGACGGGGACGGGGCGCACCTCACGTTCCGCCTTTGCTTGGGAGTGGCAAACTGCCCAGTCCTGCACATAAGTCTTGCTTGTGTTCTTCGTAGGCCAAGCAAACAAAAATTTGGCCATGTGATAAGTCCCATGGAACCTGCCGGAATGACCTCCCACAGACCCACACCCCTGCTACGAAGTTCTTGGAATATATGCTGTTAAACCAACTCATTGTTGTCAAACCCAAACTCTGCCTTCACGCTCCCTCCGTTTCAAATTATAAGTTTGCTTTAATTTTTTCATAAATTTTATTATATTTCTAGACATAGGCCCTATGTTCGCTTTTCTTATAATCCGTACTTTTTATCTTTTTTTTTCAGCCAGAACATTGTTTTTCTCTCACAACAAATCAGCCGGAACAGTGTTTTGGTTTGTTTTTTCAGCGAAGCGAACGAAACCATAATGTATATATAAATGCATAGCAAAAGTTAGATACCTTGAAAAATAACACCTTATTATTACTCCATTCTGCAAGGAATGCTCTTTGTTGCCAACCCAAACTCTACCTTTATACCTTCTTATTACTCCATTCTGCAAGGAAAGCCCTTTGGTGTTGTCAGATGATGTAATAAGTTTGTAAGCATTTGTTTTGCTACTGGATACTCATACTCCTAGTAGCCCTCGACCAATCTTACCTGCCAACAGAAATAGCACACTGAACTCTCATGAGAAACTTAAGATAAAGCATCAGCAGCTGTATTAGAAAGGCCCTTTGTATAAACCAAGGCAAATCATAAGCACGTCAGCTTAATAACAGCCCTCTGTTGCAGTCTGCCGAACTGCCGCTCCTTGTGTTACTCATCAAAATACCCAATGGTCTCCACTCTCCACCACTCTTACCCTTTACCATATCTTATATCTTATCAAGCACCCGTCACAAAGGGCAAACAGCGCCACAGGAAGTAGAAATACAAGAATAATTATGGCACTTCAATAAGAACTTTTGGCAATATTACACATTGTCACTAGCCAAGCTGTTATTCTCAAGCAATAGGCACTTGGCAGGTCTACTCACAACACGACATTAAAAGGTTAGATTTCCATCACTAATGTCTTGAAGAAATACATAGGGTTCGGACTCAAAGATAATCTCCGGGGTAGATCTCAGATCACGGAAGTAGTTCTTCAGCCAAGGGGACTCGGCTTTTGGAGGAACGGTGCGGGCCTCACATAACTGAACCCCACAAAGTTGCTGTTGGCTGCAACAGG